TACAGCCTCTTTGGAAAATGGTTTGGAAGTTCACTACAAAACTAAACATGCATATGATATTTACTGTACAATCCAGCAGTTGTACTCCTGGGTAGTTACCCAAATGAGTTGAAAACTTACGTCCATGAAAAATATACACAAGAATGTTTATATAAGCTTTATTCCTGATTGCCAAAACTTGGAAGCAACCAGGATGAACCTCTATAGATAAATGGATAAACAGACTGTGATACAGCCGTACAATTGACTACTATTCACTTGATGAAAAGAAATGACCTGTTAAGCCACAAAAAGACATAGAGGAACCTTAAGTGAATATCACCGAGTGAATGAAGCCATCTGAAAAGGCTGCCTACTGGGATTCCAACTATATGACATTCTGGAAAAGGCAAAACTATGGAGCCAGTAAAAAAAGATCAGTGGTTGCCAGAGGTTGAGGAGAGGGAAGGATGAATAGGCAGAACACAGGGGATCTTTAGGATAGTGAAACTATTCTGTACAGCACTTTAATGGTGGATACATTGCATTATGTGTTTGTCAGCTGTACAGCTGTAGAACTATACAACACAAACAGTGAACCTTAATGAGGACTCTAAACGTTAGTTAATAACATTATTTTAATACGGTTCATCAGTTGTAGCAAACGTACCACAGTAATGCAAAATGTTAATAATAGTGGAAAGTTTGTGTGTGATGCGGATAAGGGGGAAGATGTCTATGGCAACTCTACTTTCTGTTCAGATTTCCTGCAAAACTAAAACTGCTCTGAAAACTAAAGGCTTTATTTTAGATGCTTTTTTTTTTGCATGTCTAATATCATTTAAATAATTTAAAAAAAACTCAATGATCCTGTTAGGTAGACTTCTGAGAAAAAGTGAGATAATTTTATACTTGATCTATTTATTCTGAATATTCAAACATTTTTTAAAAGGTGGAATTTAAAAATCAGTATTTTATGATATTATAAAGCAGCATGTGTTACTTGGGAAAAGTGCTAATGCCTAATAAATCCAACTTATTTGGGAAAAGTGCTAATGCCTTGCAGACATTTAGTAACTTTTTATAACAATTTATTGTAGCATAAACTTGTCTTTATCTTAAGATAGAAATTTCAATTCTAAATTTTAAAAGTTTTTTTTTTTTTACAATAGAAACAAACCCCATT